TTTAAGATGGGCTACTTTGGAGTGCTGGATGGAGCATTTACCTTTCACTTTCCATCCAAGAGAAGTTTTTCCATGGGAAACCCCAAGAAGCCTGAGGTTTTATCACAGCATGCTCCAAATGTGGCCCAACTGTTTCCATTTTGTAGCAATTAATAGCACACACTGCCTGCCACTCATAGGAACCATAAAAATCACTGGTTTTCCAACACAGAAAAAATTTTGTATAGATGCGAGTAAGCCAAAGCCACTCCTGTGATAGCAGCAGAATTTCATTCACCTACTCAGAAACTCCAAGCAGTGCAGAAACTTTGGCTATGGTCTGATGAGTAGGTTAATCTGGAAGCCTGGCTCAAAGTAGATTTATCTAGCTTGCTTAACTATACAAATGGGGCACGGAAAGTTATTTTCATGGAGCATGAAAACAGAGAAAAACACAGAAAGAGAACAGTGTGTTAACGTGAAGATTAAGTAGAAATTGTTGTAGGTTTCAAGGTGTTGGTATTAAGCGGAAATTATTCAGTCATTACAAGGCACAAAGCCACATGATTGATGGTTTAAACTAAGGAATGTGGGTTTTAAGTCCCAAGGAACACTGAGACTCAGAGAGAAGAGATTATCATCATAAAGTAGCTGGTAACAGGAATGGGCTTCCTGACCTCTACGCTGGAGAGACAAACAGAGCAGCTGAGAGGGTAGCTGTGTACCACCACATGGCTCCCTGTTGTTGTTGGTAAGTACCATGGAGTCAGTTCCAACTCATAGTGACCCTGCACAGACAGGGCTTCCGAAGCTGTAAATCTTTACGGGAGCAGAAAGCCTCATCTTTCTCCGGCATAACAGCGGGTAGTTTCAAACTGCCAACCTTGAGGTTAGCAGCCCGATTCATAACCACTACGCTACCAAAGCTCTGTGGCTCCCTAGAACCTATCAACATCAAAACTGCCACCATCCAGTCAATACTGACTCAAGGCGATCCCCTGTGTTACCGAGTAAAACTTCACCACTTTTCATGGCTAGAATCTTAATAGAGGAGCCCTGTTGCACAGGTTAAGCACTTAGCTGTTTACTGACAGATTGGCAGTTTGAACCCACAGACCATTATGCTGGAGAAAGATGATCCATTCTGCATCCATAAAGATTACAGCCTCGGTCTGTCCTGTGTAATCTCTCTGTTGGAAACTACTCAACATAATCTTAATGGAAGCAGATCCCTAGGCTGTTTTCTGTGGTGCTAGTGGGTAAATTTGAACCACCACCATTCAGATTAATAGTTGATTGCAGACCTTTTGTATCACCTAGGGATGCAACTGGAGTCCTGATGTGGCGCTGGGGGTTAATGCGCTGGATTGCAAAGTTGGACTTTTCCCATGAACTCTTTGAGGTCTCCTCATCCTGGTGTGGCATTATAGACTGCTAAGTGCAAAGTTGGTGGTTCAAACCCACCAGCCACTCCTTGGAAACTCTATGCGGGGTCGCTATGAGTCGAAAGTCTCATTCCAGGCTTCACTTTTTCTCCTCTCTTGTTTTTCTTTCATTCTACTTTGAATCTTTGGTATAAGTCCTTTCTGGAATAGGTAGGAATGAAAAATTGTTTCCACTGCTCCCCACTTACATGGACATGGATGAAAATGAGAGATGGAATCCAAGGTAATACACGGGACTAGGGACCTTGAAGGCCTCTCACCTCACCAACTGAAAGATCAGAAGTTCAAGTTTACACAGCAAGGTCTCAGAAGAAAAGCTTGACTATCTACTTCCAAAAAACCAGCCACTGAAAATCTCATTGGGTACAGTTCTACTCCAACAAGTGTGGGGTCACTATAAGTTAGAATCCACTCCACAGCAACCAGGGACCTTGAGAAATGCCATCCCTTTTCTGCACTGAGTGAGCTCACTCAGTAGCTGGTCCCCTCTGCATGCTCCTGTTCACCGGACACGGTCAGGAATCTGCAGCAGTGTTTTTTGGGATCATGCCAGGCAGAGGGAAAACAAAGCAGCTGACAGCAAATCCTCATCTTTTATCAACTGTCCCCCTAACAACCTCAGAGAGGAGAGCACAAACCAAACACTCTCCAAAAGCAGCAGATGGGTGGTGTTCAGGGGGCGGGCCATGCCTGGAGAATCACCACTAACCCTAGCAACTTCTTTCCTTCAAAGTGCAGCTGGCAAGTTAGCAGTGGCTGTACCAGGGAACATAATAATCTCTGCACTTTCCTTCCTCGTAAATTCTAGAACCGTGACTACAACTGCCAAGCTTTGCCACATGGTTCCTCTACAATGTCTTTGCTTCCAAGTGGACACCCATCTTCCACTAATGCATCCCATCCAGAAGGTTTCCATCTACGGTGGTCTTCCACAAGTTCACGGCCAATTCACAGTGTCTGTCATATATTCTTTCGGGAAACACCAAGCTGTTCCTGTGTCCTTCTTCTCATCCTCTCCACTGGAGAAGCTAAGTGGTGTCCTGTGGGCAGCCAGTGTGCCCACGCCCTGGACAAAGGGACAGATTTCCATGAACAGCCTTTTCCAAGAGATGACCAAAGTCCTAAGACTTCAGCGAGAAGACAGCGATTTTTTGTGTTTTATTCACTGTTTTATTTCTAGCACTTGCAACAGGGCCTGGTACATTAAAACAAAAGAAAACACAAGAACCCATGGTGGTAGACTCGATTCTAATTCCTGGCAATCCTATAAGTAGGATTGTTGTTGTTGTTAAGTGCTGTTGAGTAGGTTCCAACTCATAGTGATCCTATATAGAGTTTCTGAGAAGCAGCTGGTGGGTTTGAACTGCCTACTTTGTGGTTTGCAATCCAGTGCTGATCCTACAGCACCACACCAGGAGTCCATAGGTCCATAAGAGACATAGGAGATGTTGATAAGCATTATCAAATAATTAAATGACTACAAAGTCGAGTTTCAAAATCAAAAGATGCTACATGTTTTGAAACCAGAAGGAAACTCTAGATGCCACACTATACCACATATGACAGCAGTGAAGACTATTAAAAACCTGGAGTTTGGTCCTGTCAATATCATGTGATGGCTACAAGCAACGTGCACACGCAGCAGAACAGCAGCTAGATAAATAAGGAACCAGATCAATAGGTTTCATACCTTTATCCCCCATCAGATCCCATCCTCACATACTGTGCTTAACTTCCTATTACAAAACTCAATACAGGATATTAATACAGAATAGAAAATGAAATATTAAATAGGATATTAAATAAGAGAGGAAAAGACCCTCATAGGGAGAGCAAAGCTCACTAGTACCACCTTTGGCTCTTCTTACCTCACCAATAATCACTGAGTTCCATTGTATACGTTAGCACTGAGGTTGTTGTTGTTGTTGTTAAGTGCCGTCGAGTCGGTTCCGACCCATAGCAACCCTGTACAGGGTTTCCGAGGGCATACATCTTTACGGGAGTAGAAAGCTTCATCTTTCTCCCGCGGAGCACCTGGTAGTTTCGAACCGCTGACCTTAAGGTTCGCAGCCCGATTCGTAACCACTCCGCTACCAGAGCTCTGAGGTAGGATGACCCAAACATCGTACCATGGTATCAGTGGTCCCAGGCATCCTTCCCTAAATTCTTAAGCTGTGGAGCTAAAGTCAACGGAATAAGCCCATCTACTGAATATTCCCTGGCACAAGGAACAACTGGAGAGTTGCCCAGGGCACGAATCAGCAGCACACCTCCCTACTGGCAGCACCTTGGGAGAAAGCCCTGATAGGCAAGACCCACTGACAGCCATCGTTTGGTACTGTAGGTCAGAGGTTCAGAGCTCAGAAATCTAGCTCTCTGAATGCCAGTTCTCCAACAAGTTAGTCAGCCTCTCTAGGTTTCTACTTCGCAGGCTGTTTAATAAGGATAACAGGAACACTTCCCTCATCGACTATAGAAGCCCTGGTGGCACAGTGGTTAAGCGCATGGCGGGTAATCCAGCTGAGGAGCCACTTTGTGGGAGAAAGATGTAGCTGTCTGCTTACATAACAGTTACAGCTTTGGAAACCCTATGTGGCAATTCTATTCTGCCCTATGTTACTGTTGTTAAGTTCGATTCATAGCGACCCTTGTATAGGATTTCCGAGAAGCAACTGGCAAGGTTGATCCCCCGACTTTGCAGTTCATTGTAAATCATAATAGACTTGCAGGCAGTGAATTTGGGTTGATTTTGTTCACAAGACTGTTGTGAAGATAAAGAAGTAGCAGTAAGTGTAAAGGAACTCATAAACTGGAAATGTTTGGTATTTAATCGCTTGTAGTTATGCCTTCCAACATTCTTATCACCATCGCATATCTGGAGGGGCACTGTTGAGGGGGACTTACCCTTCTGAATCTATAACCCCTAGGAAGAAAACCAAACAATTTGGACTTGGCAGGATTAATTGGAAGCAATCTGAACAGGAAAACACACACAGGCACCTAAAACAAAACTTAGAACCCGAGAAACTTCTAGCAAACTAAACTTGGTAGGCCTGAACTAATTTACCAGGGACATAGAGAAGAAACACACACTTAAAACAACCTTCCAGTATGATAGGCTAGAAAGAAAAATGTAACAACCTTTACCAGTCCCCTGAGGAGGACATTGTGCTTGGTAAGATAGTGTTGGCAGAAAAGAGGATGACCCCCAAGGAGATGGATTGGCACAGTGAAAGCAGCAAATGGGCTGAAAGGTAACAATTGTGAGGATAGCTAGGACAGGGCAGAGTTCCTTTTATCCTGCATAGGGTCCCTGTTCTAACAGACTCCTAACAAAAGAGCACCTAACAAAAACAACTACTGTTTCAGACAGAACTGCGCCCGGTTTTATATATAACAAGCCCCTACCTATCTTTATATACAGCAAAGCCCAGCGTAACTGAAGAAAGACACTTAACTGCTCTTGGACAGCAGGGAAGACAGCAGAAAAAATAAATCAATCAAAAATCGTCAAAGCCGCTACTGATCAATTACTCCCAGACCCCGACTCATCACAGACTTCTTTCCGTCTCCTACCTGAGAGAGTCACTGAGAGGCGTGGAGGGATCCGCGGACCCAGCCAGAACCCAGCCCGGCTCAACCAGCCTAGCCGGCCCAGCGCGCGGAGCCCCTGGGAACTGGGGAGGGAGCTCCGGGGCGCGCGGGGAGAAGGACTCACATTCCTGGTGCACTTGCGGCCCTGCCGCCAAGCCCAGACCTTAACTGCCGCTGGGGCGCCAGCTTCCCCAGGCCCGCGCCGCGAGCTCCAGCTCGGCTTCTGGTCGCGGTGACGAGTGGCGGCGGCGAGTGCCGAGTCCCGGCGCGGAACTGCGGGGCGCGGCTCGCTCTCCAGCCCAAACGACGCGTGGGCAGGGAGCGGGCGGAGACTGCTCAGCTGGGCCGCACTCGCAGCTGGGGACGCGGTTCCCACGCCCAGCGCCTCAGACGGGGTCTCCGTCTGTGCGCGGGGGATCCAGGATCCAAGGGCTGACCGCGCGCTCCCTAGCTCCCAAACCGCCGCGCTGTTCCTCTAGTGGAAGCGAAGGTGGCTCGACCCAAAATGAGTCCCGATAATGACCTGGCTCTTCCACCCCAACTGCGGGACTTCTGGAGATGAGTTCAGTGCGTGGAGCTCGTGAAGAACCGGGCTTTTGGAAAGCCCCCAAGCAACACTAAAACTTTTGCGACAGAGTGCTGTTAGTGGTTGAAAGTATCTAATGGCCTCTGGAGCTTGATGGCCTTAGGCCTGCTCCACTTACTTGAATGAATCCTTAACCTTACAGTTTGTTAAGTGTCCTCAAAAAGCCCTTACCTGCAGCACAGGCACCAGCCTCCATCTTTATACCAAAATTCTGGCTGGACTAGGTAGTTTTCAAGTTTAAAAATCACTTAGTCCCAGCAATTCACTCTGTAAATGAGAATTCACAGCCAGAGAATGCAACCAAGGGTCAGAATTACACAGCCAATGCCAACAGGACACGTTGGGATTCCACCAGCGGCTCACCATAAGCTTGAAGTCTGTTCTAAACCCTCCACATTCTGCGTTGCTTAGAGCAAGTGACTGAACCCCCAGCTTGTTTTGAGCTTCCTTTTGCCCTGTGTCTGCTGCCAAGGGGATGCTGAGTAAAAGATTGTTTCCTTCCTTCCAATCAGTGGACTCCTGTCTCCATCCCTCCCAAGCTGTGCAAGCAATTTTTTCATAAGACTATGTCTTGATAGAACTCTTCAGAAATTCTTAAGACTTGAGATAACTCTGGCCTCAGTTGCTGCAGACAGTTCTGAATGGAAGAAAACATGAGAAATGAGCAATGATAACTCATCAGTCCTTAAAGCTGCCTTGTGGCTTGGCATGATGACAATCTCTCAGCTTTATTGAAACAGTCATTCTGTATCTTATGTGATTCCAAAAGAGTGTGTTTCCTCTTAAGGGAGCAGGCTTAAATCTAAGGCCACTGACACAGGATTTCTATAGCTCATTACTTGTCCCTATCTTTAGTATACACTGATAGAGCAGTGATTCACACAATCTTGACTACACATTGAAATCAACAGAGACTGTTGTCTGAGTCCACACCCCAGATCAATCATATGACCTCTGAGGCTGAGGCCCAAATATCAAGTTCCCAGATGGTTCCAGTGTGTAGCTAGAGTTGTAAACAATGTCTCCCCCGATCCCCAAACAAATACAATTACTTTAAATCCTTCACCTGAAAGACTAATTCAGCCTGTGTGTCCATGTGGTAGTCAATGAAAGTTCAAACAGGTGAGCCTTAGTTGACCTTGTAGAATGAGCCCAAAACAATACAAAAAATGCAAAGACCCAAACCCATTACCATCATCAACCTGATTTCAACTCTTGGCCATGTCATATGTTACAGAGCAGGGTTTTCTAGGCTGTAATCTTGATGAAAGTAGATTGCCAGGTCTTTCTTGCTCAGCACCATTGTGTGGATTTGAACTGCCAAGCTTTCAGTTAGTAGCTGAGCACAAACTATTTGCACTAATGAGGGATCTAGAACTAGCTCAGACAACTACATTTTGGCAACCTGGAGCAAGTCTTGTCATTTATGTTACGAAAATTCCTAGGCGTTTTAAAAGTAGAAAGTGAAGTTAATTTGTGCAATAATGTAGCAATAAAATTTACACTTTCTTTTTATTTTTTTTTTAAATGCTGTTCCTTGCCATTCACTCTACCCTAACTGGCCTGCTAGCTACATGGACCCCCATAGACCCAGGTGAGACTCTCAAACATCTAGCCATGAATGGAAGGTGTTCCTTCTCACCATTGTTCCATCTAGGCCCCTGAAGTCTCCTCCTCCCTAGGTAGCCCAGGCTGAACACTTTCCTGACTCAATCTGCTTTTTGTTTTCTTTCTTGGATAATCTGTGTGCTTACTTGCCTCCATTTCAGCTCCTGGGTCAGAAGCTCATATCTGGCAGAGGTCTCCCCTCCTCTTTGCTCTAGTTTCCACACTGGTACAAGTGTCCTGAACATTGTCTACATGCTTAATGAGCATGATGCAATCCAGTGACTTACTTCTTTGGAAAAAAAACAAAACCTTACATGACACAGAAATAACATCCATAGCCTCTGGACACCTAGAGTGTAGACACTCCCTCTTCAGAAATGCTTATCATTTGGGGGGAAAACAGAGCCTGCCACCCCCAGGCCACCTTCATTAAGTGGAAATTGGTGGTGTTGTTAAGCGCAGTGCAGTCATTTCCGACTCATACGGACCCTGTACAGGGTTTCTGAGGCTGTAAATCTTTACGGGAGTAGAAAGCCTTATCTTTCTCCCGCGGAACAGCTGGTAGTTTCCAACTGCTGTCCCTGAGGTTCACAGCCCAATTTGTAACCACTACGCTACCAGAGCTCCTTAAGTAGAAATTAGCTCCCTGAGAATTTTCAGTATATCTCCATCCTCCAAACTGTTCAGGTCACAGGACACTTCTGCCAAAGATTTAAGTATTTATTTTTTAATTTTTTGTTGTGATGTGAGTGAAAGTTTACAGACAAGATCATCAGTTTTACATTCAACAAATACACTTTGCTTCATCTCAGTGACTGAAATCCCCTCCATGCAACAAACAACAGCTATCCCGCTTCCTGCCTATAATACCAATTTCCATTCCACCCACCTTCCCATCCCTTCTTAATTTAGGTTAATGTTGCCCTTTTGATTTTGAATGATTGACCATTCCATGGTGAGCCTACCTTACTAGGTAGGTTTTTGTCCCCCTGTATGTCTACTGCTTGGCTAAAAATCGGGGCTATAGTAAGGATTTATTTTTAAATAAATGATCAAATAGTACACATGAAGCCAAGACATGTGGTCATTACAACATGATCTGATAACCGCCCCTCCCCCAAATAAAACTTTTCAAGGAGCTGCAGTAGCGTAGTGGTTACAAATCGGGCTGCGAACCTTAAGGTCAGCAGTTTGAAACTACCAGCTGCTCTGCGGGAGAAAGATGAGGCTTTCTACCCCCATAAAGATTTACAGCCTCAGAAACCTTGTACAGGGTCGCTATGAGTTGGAACCAACTCCACGGCATGTAACAACAACAACATGGCAGGACAACGTTCTGTAACATTGTCCATTGTGAATACTAACACCAAGCTAGAATGTTTGACAGAGAAAGCTTTTCGCTATGTTTATTTCTTGAATTCCAAATGACAAAGTGCTGAAGAACTTAGAACACTGAATTTATATCATAAACCTCTGAGTACAGAACAATGTAAGATAATATAAGACTTTGTTTTCTTACCCAAAAAGGAGAAGAGTTGACTAGCAGGCAGGTTGGTCTTTGAGAAGTGCCTAAGAGCCCCAACTTTCTACTGTCACCACATGAGAGAAATCCTGACCTCCTCCCTGGTAGGGAGGTGGATGGGCAGTCCTAGAAGAGGAGGACCATTGCTTGGCTTCTGAAGGTGTAGCCCTGAACTCCACTGGTCTCATTGTAAAGCTCCATGTGTAACATGGCCCTAGCCAAGGATCATGCTTAAGGACAGTCTGCCTAACAAAGTCCAGCCTTGTTTCAGGTAAGCAACTAAGACTTCCCAAGTCTTCAGAGAGGGCTATCAAGAGACTGAGAGAGCTAAAGACTCAGAAGAGATTGTGAATTTGAGTAAGACAAGATAAACATTATCTCCGCTGAGTTTGGTAAGTACAAAGGATGATCAATGGACCAGAACCACTCGTTGGTTGCCAGGATAGCTTTTAAGCAATGGCCTTCCTTTCAGCCCCGCTGCCAAGAATTTCTACTACTTCCAGGGAGAGGAAATAGTTTGTAGTAAACTATGCTATTAACCACACAGACTGAATCTTGAACCAATGGAGATTAAACAACTTGCAATTGGCAAATACTGTCATCAACTGGAAATGAGGATTCATGGCCTAAATTGACCTTTTATTATAGAGAAATAAAGAAAATCACATTCTTTTGCACACAGGAATTTTTTGCTACACCTATTTTTGCAACATATAAAGCTGCCAGTAACCTCTTACAGAACCACAGCATTCTGTAAATAGCTTTAAAACCACTGTCCTAGATGGACTTCCTTCTACAGCTCAGGATTTTTAGCTCCACTCACGCATTTTCCATCTATCGTGACCTCCAAATAATCACTTTCTTATCTATGTCTCTCATAGGATCATTGAAACATCTCATTCTTAATTGGCCCAACACTCTCCTTTTCCCTAATCTGTCATTTGTGGGTCTCTATGATCATCTTTCCATTACAATTCCTCTGGCTTAGCATTTGTTGTTGTTGTTAAGTGCTGTCAAGTCAGTTCCAACTCATATCAACCCTGCACAGGGTTTCTGAGGAGCGACGGGTGGGTTTGAACCAACGACCTTTTGGTTAGCAGTCCAGTTCCTGTCCAACAACACCACACCAGGACTCCAGCATGTTGTTGTTGTTGTTAAGTGCCGTCGAGTCGGTTCCGACCCATAGCGACCCTGTACAGGGTTTCCGAGGACTCCAGCATAGAGCTTTACTAATCAAAAGAATCCCTTGGTGGTACAACGGAGCTTCAAAAGTATTTCATTCGCTTTTTCTTTCATTTTTCCAGGAACTTTTTGAAGTCCCCTCACTTAAAAGATACACTTCATACGCCCTTAAGTAACGCCCTCCTAAAGCTCCTTTTAAAAAGGTTAGAAGTTTGAATTCACCCAAAGGCACCTCAGAAGAAAGATCTGGAGACGTATTTTTTATTGTTATTCAACGATTTTCTGAAAAATAGGTCATTGAAACCTTTACCTAAGGAGTAGTTCTAGTTCTACTATGACACACATGGGGTCACCATGGGTCAGAGTCAACTGGATTACAATTGGTTTTATTGGTTTTGAACAAAAGCCACATCTAAGCTAGAGATGAGAGCTGATAAAAAATGGTAAAGTGCATTACAAAACTGGCACAGGGAATAATCTATGCCTCATACGCCTTCTTTAAATAGGAGGAAGCAAAAAATAGACATATCAGATAACCCTGTCAAATTTTGGTTCTAATTGCAGCTTAAACCTTGCTCCCTGAAGGTAAATGACCGAAAAAGGCTTCCTGCACCTGGCTTTCCCCAGGTTAGCACAGAAACAGCACAACAAGTATCAAAGGTCAAAGGATTTGGTAATTCCGAGTACCGCTGCACCAAACAATCTGCTCCGTGGCCTTTCTTACTTCTGTGCATTGTCTTATATTTGATGATTACATCAGCAGCTGCAACCAGTAACTGAACCACAAAGTCAGCCCTTACCAGCTATGTCATCCAAAAAGTGCCTGTTGAAACTTTTATGCTCCTTTGTACACTTCACACGCCCTTAAGTAACGCCCTCCTAAAGCTCCTTTTAAAACTGAATACTCTTTCCTTTGTAATTACATGTAAACCCATCATCTTTGGCGCTCTGCAAGTTTCTGTAATTGGTCTCTAAGTTTCATCCCTTCTTCCTTTTCTCCAACACCTTAAAAAATCTAGGCTTCTTTATGCGGCTTGTACTCTACCTTTGATCTTTGCTGAATGTAGCTGTCAATTTATCTTTTTTAAATGGTTTCCTTGTAATATGGCCACTTTGCTAGATGAAAGATGGCTGAAAATCCTTTGATCTTCCTTTAATTGAAAGGTAGAGTCTGATGTTCCTCCTCTAAACCTAGGCTGGCCTCCGTGACTTGCTTGACCAATAGGATGTGATTTTTTTGTGCCTTCTGTCAGTTTCGTCTTTGTGCCAAAGCTATCCTGAGACCACCATGCTGTCTGAAAGTCCAAGCCACATGGAGGTCACATGGAAAAGCTCCAGTCAACAGTTCCAGCTGACGTCAGACTCAGCTACCAGCCATGGGAGTGTGCCCTCTTGGATGTTAAGCCCATTTGAACCTAGTCAACCACTATTTGACTGCATCCATATGAGGCACCCTAGGTAACAGCCGGCTTCTTGAGCATCACCAACCCACAGAACTGTAAGAGATTGAATTATTGTCTTAACCCAATGAGTTTCAAGGTAGTTTGTAAAACAATAATAGATATGCAAACAAGAATGGCCATACCTAGGAAGTTGTCATGGTTCCTCATTGCCCAGCCTATACCATATAAAGACTAGCATGGAAGGTCATTGGTTCAAACCCACCTCACAAACTCTGCATAGAGTTCTATGAGTTGGAACCCATTTAGCAACAACAACAACAAAAATGCATGGTCTATTAGAATTAGAACACCTACACTCCTTCCTTCACCATCTCCTCTAAATAGTCCTGGTTTAATATTATTACTAAAATAATGTCACCTGAAAACAAAGGAAAAATGAAAGTTATAAGATGCTCAAATAGGTTTAGTTTTGAGTAAAAGAAGTAGCTAGAATCTTATACTTCCAAGTAAATGTTAACTGCAAGAATTATTTCACTGCTAGTATGTTTATTCGCGAGGGCTTCTATCATGGAGGGCGGCAGTTAAACAATGTGAGACAACTGCGCAGACCTGGTGGAGGTGTTAAATGAAACCCAGACCACGGAGCGGTGGGGTGAGAGGTGTCTGGAGACCAGGTTGATGGGGAGACGCTGCCTAGCAGGAAGAGACTGCAGGGGCCTGCCAGGTTGTCCTACTAACCCCGGATGCCAGAGTGCCTTCCTAGCCTAACCATTGGATCCTGACCTTGAGGCGGGGTCGACCAACCAACTTAGAGATCCACAAGCCCAGCCCAAAGCGCCTCACTACAACCCAGTCACCCCTGCTGCGCTTCTGCCTCTTGATTGACATCCAAGGACAGAAATCCTGCCTTTGAGCCAAACTTCAGGGCCCTGGCACAAGGAGATTCCTATTTAACAGCAACCACGCAATCGCCACTCGTCTATCTGTCGTGCTGTGGCGGTTTGAATTGCTGCGATTCTGAGGGCTATGCCACCGGTATTTTAAATAACCAGCAGGGTCACCCATGGTGGACAGGTTTCAGATGAGCTTCCAAACAAAGACAGACTAGGAAGAAAGAGTG